AATCGTGAATCGCTGTTCTCATCAGTCAGATGAGCGTTATTTAACGAACAGTGTCTGCGACAAAGTGGCAAATATGGCGCGTTGTCTCGTACTTCATTTCCCAAAAAGTGATACTCGTTTTTCGATCCTAAGAGCACGAAAGGCGAGTGATTAATCCGGGGCTTGAACTCAAGATTTTTCGATTGCTTTTCTCGATCGAACGCTCTACCGGTTGAGCAGCCAAGTCGTATCAGCCGGACTCGAAAGGAGACAAGGACTCACATCCATGAACATGTTTCTAGGTTCTAGGAACACTGCGTATCAGAAGATTTTCGAAGAGATGCATGAATTGAACTTCCCACTTCCCTCATCTTACTATGCTAATCTAACAGTGACTAGGACGAATTTCGATCGATGCCCATTTAGTGGTTGTGGGAATGCACCACAAATCACTTTCAATCTCAGCACCTCATTCCTCCAATTAATTTTCAGCTATCGACACAGTGACGAACAATTTTTTATTTACATGATTCACTGCCGAAGAGGCGAAAATTCACGAGTCAATATATCGAATAACGGAGTCCACGAATATACGCCTTTCATCGCCGGCATGTTAGACGGTGTTTCGGACTGCAGTGCTTCTGATTACTGGAATTGCACGTAGTGCCTTTTTAACCTCAACAAGGCAACAATCCAAGGTTATTGGATTTGAACCTCACAATTTCCTCATCACTGGAACGCGATAGCTTGCATTACGTGATGCCGTGCAAGTGGGCAGTGAACACGGCTAAACGGTCGCATTTCGCATTGTCACTCGGTCGATTGATTTGCTGCATTTTTTGGCCATTTCATATGATTCAGTATCTTAGCATCTTCGCTGAATGACGAATGCTGCCAACAGAATAGGTAGCTCATTCTTTTCCGTAACGCGACAGCTATGGTTAATACATAAGAGATGATCAGAAATACTATTGGACCAAAGAAGTTTTAGAAACTTCAATATGCCGATGAACCAATCGAGTGGAAAAAGGCATCGGTCTCAGAGGACCCTATTTACTGCGTTTCATTTTGCACCTAGCACGAGCATGGTCTTCATCGTATCGCCTTACGCACACTCATCTGCAGTCATTTCTTCATGCCTGTTCTCTTGCGACTCTTTGACTTCATAGCTCTTACTGAAATTTGCCTCCGAAGTTGCTGCCCATGCTCAAAATAGATTAGAGGATACACTTGCTCATAATAATTTATTACCTCTAAATGAACAGAGTTTGAAGCTGAGCCAGCTTTCCTGTGAAGAAGGATGCTATCAGCAGCCGAACTCTTCCTCTCTGAGGACAGAGGTTGAGGCTCGATGGTTTTTTTAATGCTAGTGGCTTCAATAGCCCGAAGGGGCCAGTGGTCGATGAGGTCTCGATCGAAGTTGAGATCTGGTTATTCTGTATGGAGATATGGTAAGAGACGGTTCCAATCGTAGCTGTGACAGATAACTGTTTACTCGCGTCGTCAATCAGTTGGTATTTGTAAGTGTTCGCATGGACAGTAATATTCTCGTAAACGAGGCACACCCTCTGCGTTCGTATCTTTTTCCTGATTTTTAACGTGCCGTCTCAAAAAGAACATTATTCATTGGCCAATGCTCCTGCACCAAACTTCCCATCATTCACTTGTCCTTGTCTGATCACGGATCCTCAAAGACCCACCCATAAAACATTGAAATGTGATTGTTCAATTGAACAGCTTGACAATAGAAGAGTTCAACTGCTTTTGCTCCATCATGTTTGTTTCTGATCAGTGTTGTCATAAGGTGGTTACTATTGTGTCAAATTCGTTGTATGAGGTTACACATTCATAAGTAGTGTCATGTCATACTTAGAGTCTGCTTTTCCAGTGTACATTTGTTTGTCAATTTCTGTTTCATGTATCTGAATTCTTTTTTGCTGAAAAATGGTTTATAATTCTATTTAAACCGTGAGGCTCATCGATTTGCTTCATTACCTGCACAGCTACTTACTTTCTGTCTTATTTACCAGGCATGGTCACATATTCTTGCTCGGAATCAGCATATAGGCTTTCTCTAAACGGGTGCGCGAACTATCACGATTATTCAGTGATCTGAAGTAAGGAAAAGATTTAGTCAGCAGTGCTTCGACCTCAGCGAAAGCCACTCTGCTGTTCCTGGAACTTGGAGTCAGAAATACCTCGGCATCCTCTTTCCAACGTATGTGAGTAGACTTTGCCCAGAAGGATCAGTAATGTAATGTTCAATTGGAAGAGCACTGCTTAGGATCACCCTACTTGAAAGAGGTGCCGCAACGCACATTCTCCAATCCATTGGTGTCTTCCCAGCGTCAATGCAATTTGGCAGACATGCCTTGTTAGTCTTATGCTTTAAGCATCTCTCGGCGGATTTCATCGATTTCAGCAGCTTTGGCATAGTTGAAGTTTTTTGCAGCTTCTGTGACTCCATTTATTGAGAGACTGATATCCGTTTTTGTACGCATAAGTATTCAGCACCTCAGGGCCGATTTCACCGATTCTTCCAGCCTAGCAACTTTTGAAGCTTTTGCAGCTACTGTGACTTCGCACGCTAATTGTCAGGTTCGCGGTTGCTCGTGGTGAAGGAGCACCTCAACGTCTCTCTCCACTGACGTCGAAAGAAGGATGTCCTGTTTCTTGGTGAGAAAACGTTCGAACTTTTCCTTCATGAGTTTTCGACTTTTTTTCACCTTGAAGTCGGCGAATGGTTTGCCGTCTCAAAATTTGACTCGACCACCTCAGAAAAATTTTCCCACGAATAAGCTTTCGCTTTGGTCACAGCTCTCACTGCCGTCTTGTGCATTTTTTCGCACCACATTCGGGTTGTAGACGTTTTGCTTCCAAGCTACATTTAAAATGCAGCTTTTTCTCCCCGATATTTAATGCGACTGCCAACTGCAAGCTTTGGTGAAGGTTCCGGATATTACTCTGACCAGTGCGATCGATAACTCCTATGTTTGATAATCGGCCCAGAACACTTGGGTTGTCTGTGACATATGTAAATGAATGGCAGAATGGGTTTATGAATAACGAATGAGTGAATGAATACAAGAACGAACTGACGAATGAGCAATGAATTAATGAATTAGCGAATGAATGGATGATTGTGTCGTTAAGAAGTAGTTAGTTATTTCTGAGAATTTGACAATTCAGGCGAGTAGACTGTTTTCTCTATTTTCCGATATCATCTATGAATAACCATTCAATCACATCTGCCGTCGGTTGTGTTCACGACGGTAGTCCGTTGCTCTGAAAGTGGTGAATTAGAATTTGTACTCAAGGGCTTTTTCTTTCCATGAGACTGCCTATAAGCTGTAAAAAGATCGATATTAATCTACTTGTTATGCCTCATTATCTGACCGCTTGGGGGTTTCTAACAACTCTAGTACTTATCATAATGTATACGACTAATCAACACTGCAATTCTTTCTATTGGCTTGCGATTTCATCCTCAATTTTGTACGCGCGTCATGATGTGGACATCGTTTTTATGGTAGTGTATAAAGGTACGGCATTAAGAGGTGACTTAGCTAACCCTGACACCGTGACGATCACATGAAATGATGAAAACCGACTTCTAGTAATATCAGCTCATATGAATTCTTGAATCAATTTTCTTTGATCATGCTACTTTCGTCTTTTCTCACGATGATCGTGAAACACAGCGAACAGAATCAGTTTTCTGATAAAGATTTAATTAATTAATTTTTAAATACTCCTCAAATCTACTTGATAAAAATGATTTCCCTGTTGCCTTACTCTTAACTAATTGTTTGATACATCTTCTTCGTGGTCTGTCAGTAAGTATCCAGTCTTATTAACATGATCTATGTGCAACTTTTGGCGATGATTTTCTCCATGGCCTTTTCAAGAATTAGTATTTGGCGACGTACAGTTGTTATAAACATATTTAAATCGTCCTTTGTAGTTTTACATCATTTATCGATGATCAACAGATGGAATGTTTCAGTTAAAAAATTACACCCTTGAAAACAACTATTATTTCTGCCTATTGTTATTGACGGCGTTTCCCGAACGTTTCTCATTTGGAATTCCAGGTATACAAGACCGTTTCTGGCTAATCTGGCATCAACAGAGGGTAAGTTGCAATTGAACTTATTAACGACTGTGTTGATGTACGTGTTAG